CTCTCTCTCTCTCTCTCTCTCTCTCTCTCTCTCTCTCTCTCTCTCTAATTGGTGCATGTGCCCTCTTGCAAATTAAAAACAAAAATAGGGGCCAGCAGATGGTGTGGTAGTTAAGACATTAGATTCCCACATGGCTGACTGCAGTTTGAGTCCCAGACCTGGGGATTTGCTTACCTACTTTCCCTTTCTCTCTGTCTCTCTCTGGTCAAGTTAAACAAATAATAATGATGATAATAATTGAAATAAAATAATTTCAAAAATACATTAAAATAAAACAAAAAAAGAAAGGAAAAAATATCTAAAAATATGTATGATGAAATAATCAATAAGGAATAAGTATGTTACACTAGAAAAGTATTTATTTATGGGCGAGTCCCCATAGTTGGGAGCTGTGCATTGGAAGCTAGATCTCACATGGCAAACCACAGTTCAAATTATGGCCTGGTAGCTTGAGAAACATATTAGACATGTGTGTGTGTGTGCCCAAAATCCAGATGGGAAGGAGAAATGCAGAGAAGGGATTGCTGCATGACTACACCCCACTGGGGTGTGCTTTATCTCTCTCTCAAGTACACGTACCTTCTGGCAATAAAAAATAATAAAATAAAATACTTCCTTAATGCAAAAGAAAGCAGTAAAGAGGAACAGAAAACAAAAATTTTGTGAGATGTATAGAAAACAAAAGGTAAACCTGAAGACACAAATCCAACTGTATCAGTAATGAAGTGAAATGTGACTGCATTAAACAATCTAATCAAAGGCTGAGATTATCAGACTAGATTTAAAAAAATGAACAACAATGAGATTCAGAGACTGGACAGTGGCCCTGCAGTAAAATACAGTGCTCTGTAAGGCTGACCCACGTGGGAAGGTCCTGGATTCATGCCCGGAGTCTTCCCTTGATACACCAGGCATTCATATCTCCATGATCTGCAGCTGACTAAAGCTGGAGGTAGATCATGGCATCATCTTGTTGGAGGTGCTGTTTCTGTCTCACTTACTTGCTCACTTGCTTGCTCACTCATGGAAAAAAAATTTT